TGGTTTAGAAGCTCCCTCCCATACCAACATGGGAGATATCTCCAACTGGAAAGGGCGCTTCTTCTCCACCCTGGCTCTGGAGATACATGAGTTTCTCCCCACACCCAGGGGAACGTGGTCTCTTGCCTTGAGGGGCTAGTCCCCTCTACAATGGCTGCAGCAGTATAAGAGCTCTCCCAACAACTATGTGAAAGGGGGTCTCTCACCTGAAGGGGCGAGTCCCTTCTACTCTGGCCTAGGAGAAATACAACTTCGACCTTGCACAAAGATGGGAGTGGTCTTTTGCCTGGAGGAGCATGTTCACTTTACCCTGGCTGCAACAGTATATGAGTTTCCCCTGACACCCAGGTGGGAGCAGTCTTTCAACTGGAGGTGCGTGTCTACTCTACTCTGACTCTGGTGGTATAGGAGCTCCCCCTGATACCCAGGTTATGGTGTCTCCTGACTAGAGAGTCGAGTCCCCTCTACACTGGCTGAGGAAGTATAGGAGCCCCCCCCCATAGCCAGGTGAGAGGGGTCTCTCTCCTGGAGCAATGAGTCCTTTCTACTTTGGCTGTGGATGTATAAAAGCTCTTCAAGACACACAGGTGAAAGTGGTCTTTTATATGGACAGGAGAGTCTCCTCTGGCCTGGCTTTTGTGGTATACAAGCTTCCCTGACACCCAGGTGGGAGAGGTATCCGGCCTAGAAGTGCAAGTCCCCTCTACTTTACCTTTTGCCCTATAAGAGCTCCTAGTACACACAGGTGGGAGGGGTCTTCCCCCTGCAGGGGCATGTTCGCTCTACCCTTGCTGTCACAGTATTGGAGCTCCCTCTGACAGCCAGCTGGGTGGGCATCCTGCCTGCAGGAGCGAGTCCCCTCTACCTGGATGCTAAAGTAATCAAGCTCCCCTGGACACCCAGGTGGGAGGGGTCTCCCAATTGGAGAGGCAAGTCCTCTCTACTCTGGCTGCAGAGGTAGAGGAGCTCACCCAGACACCCAGGTGGGAGAGGTCTCCCGTCTGAGAGGGCAAGTCTTCTCTTACCCTGCCTGCAGCAGTATAAGAACTCTTCCTGTCACCCAGGTGGAACGGTCTCCTTCCTGAAGCTGCGAGTCCCCTCTACCCAGGACACCCAGATAGAAGGGGTCTCCCATCTGGAGGGGAGAGTTCCCTCTACCCCACCTGCAGTGGTATAGGAACTCCCCAGCCATCCAGGTGGAAGGGGTCACACACCTGAAGAAGAAAGTACCCTCTACCATGGCTACAGTGGTATAAGATCTCTCTCTGAAACCCATGTGGGAGGGGTCTCCTGCCTGGAGGAGCAATTTCCCACTACTCTGTATTTACTGAATAAAAAAAATGCTAGAACTGTGGCTCAGTGGTTTAGTGTCCTTAGGTTCTACTCCTGGTACCAAAGAAGAAAAAAAAGAGGAGAAAAAGAAAAAGTGACTTGGGTACCTTGTTCTGTTGCTGAATAAAATTTTGGGGTGTGGAGTTTTAAAGGCTGTCATTCTGCCTATCAGAGAAATAGGTTGTTATATTTTTACTTGATTTTTTTTAAAGAGAGTACTGGTATCAGAGCATACAGAGGTTCTGTTCAGCTTAAAATGCTCTTTGGGAACTGTAAAAATTTTCTAAATCCCAGAGGAAGCCCAGACAAAAAACAAAAATGACAGCATGTTCACAAATGACAAAGAAAGAAATCC